CTTTATATTTTATAAATTTTTTAAATTACTTTACTATAATGATGCTTTCTTTATTCCTATATTTTCTTTAAATACAAAGCATAAGAAATAGATATTAAAAATGTTGCAATATTGAATAGTGGAGTGAAAATTAATTAATTATGAAAATTAATTATGAAAATTAATTATCAGTTTTGTGAAGCGCCTATATTTTTCGTTCTAGGTGTGACAAAAATATTTTTGTTTCTTTTTAGGCCACCTAAAAAACATAATTTTTAAAATTTTTATATTATGTTTAATTTTTTGCAGTTTTGGACTTGTTAAATGTTTGAAAAGGGTCGAAATAATAATTGCCATTAATATGGAGATAAATTTTGTATTGCAATTTTTAGGAAACAAATGTAACTTAAATTGTCATCAGACGCAGAGTTTGTTCCAGACACAGTTGAAATTTTCGGACATAAGGATAGGCAAATAAGGATGTATCACAAATAGATATTTTGATCACTTTCTAGGTAGCCGAAGTGTTCCAAATTCAACCTGTATTCTATCGACAAAATAAATGACGATTGCTTCCTGTGCACTGAATGCTAAGTTTATCGTCATTTTATCGCTAAAGAGAATTTTTTATTAAACAAAACTCTAAACCAAATGAATTTTTTAGCTAAACTCCTTGTAGAAAGCCCTTCTGGGTCTTTAAATGTCTAGTCAGGTCTTGATTGACTTCATTCAAGAGTAAAAAATACCCAGGTACTATAATGATTCCGTTTTTATACAGTATTGAGATTGTGTTGTATGTTTTTTTTTTATTCTCTATAAAAAATTGTTAAAGTTCGCTGATTTTTTTTACATGAATATTAACTTAAGACCCACGGTAAAAAAAATTTCACTTAAATTATAGCAAAAATTTAAAAAGCATATTAAAAGACATTACGGAACAGGGTTATTTGAATGAACAATTATATTATATTTCGTAGAATTAAAAGGGAAAAAAAATTAGCTTGTAGGTCAGGGAATTTTTTTAAAAATAAAACGCCAGAATTGTCAAAATTATTTTAGTTCGGCTCTAAGATCATAAAAAATGTGGTTAGCGTTTGAAAACTCTTCAAAGAGTTGATTGAAAAAGTTTGATTCGCACAATTGATAATCTGTAAAAGCTGTTTATTTTTGAAATTTTATAATTTTACTTTTGTAAACTTACTTTAAATTTTATCTTAAAAAAAATATTTTTGTTGATACTTTTAATTGCATTTATGGGGCATCAAAATCTTTTTAAGTGTTTAGGGCCTCTAAGGCTCCTAATCCGGACCTAAAACGAACAACTTTTACTCTTTTTTTTTAGATGAATTTTTAAATGATTGCGAATTCATAGAAGTTACTACAGCTATTTCAGTCATTAATTACAGCAGAAAATAGTGATGAAAATAATGTTCTCAAAAGGACTTTATGATTTAGTAGAAAATATTACGGATGAGTTCATTTTGTGCCGCAAATTTTTGGGATCTTGTGATAAAATGATCAGTTATTGCTTGTTCCTCTATAATAAATTGTTATTCCCTGGACATAATGACCTGTATATAATGACAACATTGCCAGTCATAATATGTAACAACGAACAGTAATTTTTCATTTTCAAGATTTTAAAATTATACTTTCAGAAAACAGGTTTAACATCCCTTATGTACAGTGCGAAAAAATAAATAAAAAAAAAGGAACACCCTGATTAACTTTTGTTCTAATGATCAGATTTTCACGTACTGGAACTCAAACTTAATGGTTCACGTGGGTGTCCTTAAATATGCTAATTAATTAGTGCAGACGATATATTAAGTTACTAAATCAGGCTTAAAATCGTACTTTTTCTGAATAAGTATAACTTTTATTCGACGGATTTTTATTCTTGATCCGCAAAATATAGGAGGTAGCTGCAGTCCGAATAACTTGGTCAGGAGAGTGGGCAAAAGTTTGGACCCCTTGATGTTAATTTTGCATATTTCGCCCCATCTCAACAACATTTAAAGCGATTTGGAAAATTTGTGTTTACAATTATAGAATTCGTTTATTCAACGATAATTCAATGACACAAACAATAATTACTTATTAATTTTTAGTATTTAAATTAATAGTAGTAGAAAATTTTTTGAATTGTAAGGTATACAAGTTTTTACAGAATTTTAAAGAATGTATTTTTATAAGCCAAAATTTGTAATGTAATTGCATAAAATTCTTTTAATAGCGTTAAATTCTTTTTTAATATTTTTGAATTCTTTAAAATGTCAAAATGCATTCAAAACTAAAGAATATCAAACTGATATTTAAAAAGAAACAAAAAAAAAAAATTATTATTCGAAAACAAATTTGTCGAAAAAAATATAAAGATGGGGGAAAAGTGACGATTTTTTATCACATCACGTAACACAAAAGTTAATTTTATAGTAAATTAACTCTAATGTTCTCGACAGAAAATCAAAAATAGATAACGATTTTATTAAGCAACATAAATGCAAATTAAATACTTTAATAAAGGAATTGTATGGGGCTCAAATGATTGAAGAAAAAAAAAAAAAAAAAACATTATAGCTCTCAATAGGATTCAACATTCAGTTCGGATTCAGTTTAGCATATTTTTAGCTTTAGGGCATTTGTATTTAGTGAATTATAAGAAATTTTTTAAATTTTAAAATGGTTTTTAAAGCTACAGAAAAATTAGAAACAAAGTTTAAAAACAGTTAACAGCTTAAAAAAACCTCTTCCCGTGTCATACTAATATTGTATAAATAATATTAAGATTTAAAAGAAAAATGTGGAAATAACTAGTAACAACTGATAAAAAAAAGAAGAAAATGATTAAAAGATAACTTGGTTTGACGATGAAATCAGCGTTGAAAAAGCGCGTCAAAAGTGATGTTCAAAATGCCTGATTGGAAAATCGCAAGTTTTTATAATTCCTGATTAAAAACATCAAGATTTTCAAAACCCCGTGGAAGAGGATAGCAATAATCGCTGAAAGAACGATTTTAAAAAAATAAATAAAAACTCTTTAGATTTGCGATGAAATTAGCACAAATAAAGCACATTAAATGCGTGATTCGAATGTCGTATTAATAATTATTAAAAGTATCGGGATTTACGAAACTATGTGAAAATGCGTAGCAATAAGTGGGGAAAAAATAACGGAGAAAAATGCTTAGAGAAGGGATACGATAATTAGAAAAACGAGTTTAATAAATCAAAACTTAGTTACCAGTTCAATTTAGCTAGACGTACTTGGAAATAGTACATAGAGAAAGAGAGCACTTACAAAATAGAACGATAATATTGATACAAACAAAGCACGTCAGAAGTGATTACCATCTGCACAGTTCAAAACTCGCTAGTCGTTATAATGCATTTATTAAAAAGATCGGGATTTTAAAATACCCTTGGAAATCCTATAATAACCTCCGAAAACACGATCGCAAAATCACTTGGATTAACTATAAACTGAACAAGAGCTTCAAAAGTGATTATATAAAATACGAAATTCACGCATGATAATTTTGTCGAATTAATAATTTGTAGATTTTCAAGACTTTGGAAATTCGTTGCGATTACCACCGAAAAAAGTTACCAAAAAACTACATTGAGTTAAATTTGGCGTGTCAAAAACTTATTTGCTCAATTCCAAATTTCCGATCTTTTTTTACTTTCTAAAAAAAAAGAAGAAAAAATTTTTTTTTCTTACTATGTTCAGAAGCTGGTAAACCGCAGATTGTGCACCCTATCATATCTGTATCGTGCTCCCCTCACCTCGGGTGTTGCGAAAGTGTTATTTCCGCCTCTGATATCGAAATAATATTTTTGAAATAGTTTACTGCTTGAATAAAAATTTAAATCAGTTAAAGCAGAAATAATGAAGTGAGCATCATTTATAAATTTATTATCATAAATACTTTTTTTTTAAAAAAATTCATTTTTTTTAATTAATAACTTTCTATTTTATAATTAACTCAAATGTATTTAATTTTTGTTATAAGGAAAAATTTTAACTGCTCACATAATTTCCTAAATTTAAATTACTATTCAAGATAATGAATTAAAGCACATAATTTTTTCCCCAAGACTGTCACACGCAGAAATATATTATTTATAGTTATTAGTATTTTGTAGTTTTTGCGCTTCATTTCCCTTTATTTAATATGAAAAAATCCCTAAAATTCCAAAACGGCAAAAAAGTGTGTATATTGTATAATAATTTGCATTAAAATTTTATTTTTTCTTGAAATCTACTGTTTTTTTTTTTATTTATTATTATCAGCCGTGATATTGTTCTAATTTTTGGTGGAATTTCAGATTTTCTAAACTTTAGAAGAAAATTTCAAATTTTTAATTAGTTAAGGATCGTTCAGTAAAAGATTTTATTCAGTAAATGATTGCGACTTTCAAGTAACTCTGCATTTTGTTTTGAAATTTTTGGGTCTCTTTATTAGTTTCATTAACAAGCACACTCTAATCTATTTAAGTATCTGAATATTTAAATGATTTATTATTTCGGAGCCCATGTATTAATTTACAATTTTCCTTTACTTGTGTACTGTACTTAATACCATTTTGTTACTTCGTAATTTTCGGGATTAGCTTTCGTCTTATTAATGATTGAATTAAAGTTAAAACGTCGGTAATGGTAAGATTTTTAAAATGATTGTCAAATAAAGGTGTTATATACCCTCTAATTTCCGTTGTAATATTATTAGCAAACTTACTATTTCTTTAATTTTTTCTCTCCAATAACTGTATTTGATCAGTTCAACTGAATTAAAAAAAATATTTTATTGCGCACGCTTTTTTATTTTTTCATGATTTGAATTGATAGTTATTATCAAACTTTTTGTTCCACTCTCATGTCTGCATTATTTTATCTAAATTAGCTATGAAACCGCTTAGCACACATCTGATAGAGATTGTTAACCATTTTACCATCAATACAAAATATCATTATTATAATTATGAAATATATTTAAAATAAAATGAAAATATCTTACTTTAATGTCTTTTTTAATCCTGTTTACCTACTGCAGAATCTCCAAAGGTGTTTCTGGTGTTTTGATGAGTGTTTCTGCTTGCGTATGCGCTTATTGTAGCTTTTAAAGTGCTTCTAGGCGAACCCTTACAAGTTTTCTTTTTTTTCTACTGGCGGTGACTTATTGTTTTAGTTATGTCGCATTATTTACTAATCATCCATGGTACATCAATTAATGTATATTTCAACCCATTTATCATTTCTATTTTGGATTAAAGGCTTTGAAATGAACTTCAAAAAATGCCCTGCCTGCAAATTTTGTTTTGTTAACTCATGCTTTTTTGCGACAGGAGAGAATATTTTAACCTCCCAAAGTGAAGTGAACCGAGGGGACTCATGAGGCATAGCGTTGGGAAGCTCCCCCCTTTCCTTTTTAATTTAGAATTTTTTGAAGGTAACTTTTTAAACCCCAAAACCCAGACAGCTATTTTTTTAAAAATTCGGAAGTTTAAAAGCCTTACAAAATAAAATTTTTTCGTTAGTTTATAATTGAACGAAAATATTTTATGATTATAATTTTTGTGCTAAGTCCATCTTAAAAACCTGTTAAAGATTATTTTTTTAAAGTTACCATTCGAACTCGATGAAACAAAATTTAAAAACAATCACACAATTTTTCAATGAAACAAAATTTATGAATTTTTTTTATTTATTATTTTTTTTAAGATAACAATTGTCGGTAGTTGCTGTTTTATTATAGTTTATGCACAATGTAATAAGTCGATATTAAAAAAAAAAAAAAATCATTCGTGTATCTAATATATAATTATTAAAGTTTTTGATAAGGGCATTTTGTTAAATGTTAATCACATTTTTTGGATTGAAAAATATCACGATTTTTTGGATTTGAAAAATATTCAACCATACTAGAAAAATAAATCTTATATGAGCATCGCAATCCTATCGAATGATTTCAAAATTTCTGATAAAAAGAAGTTATTAACTTCATCACCTACCTCATTTTGATCAATCCGACTTTGGCATGGGTAAAAATGACATTTCTAAAAGCTTCAGCACGATCTTTCAAATTGTGTCAACAGTTTTACCATGTAAAATCTTCCAAAGCGTTTGCTGCCGAAAGAAATATTGTTTATATAAAGTTAGTATAGAAGTGTTTATATTTTTACCCAATATCTGTACATTATATAACTGTTCAAATTGGAAACTGTTTCTATCTCTCCAAAGTCTTATTATTTAAAAATTATATTTATTTTTAAAAATTTCGATACAAATATTAGGATTTATGGTAACATCTTTCATTTCTCATTTTTTATATTTTATTTATTGACTTTTTTGTTGCTTTTGAAATCATGTCAAGTATGAGCTAATAAAATAAAAATCTCGAGTGCGATAAATATGTTTTTCTTTAATAATAGGTTAACAGTTATTTAAAGCAAAAATAAATAAATAAATAAAATAAAACAAAAATCTTTTAAAATTGCCGTTACTTTCAAACAAAATAGAATTTCAAAAACAATCGCAATAAATTTATAAATGAGATTTAAATTTTCAACAAGTCAAATTTCAACTTTGTACTTGCGTCCGATTCTACAAATTCAAATTTAACAGTTAATAATTCTTGAACTAATAACCAAATTCTCATATTTAAAACAAATTAAAATATGTTTTTTTTTTCAAAAAAAAAAATCATAATAATAAAGAATCGCTATAGTTAAGTTTATAACCAAAAATGAGCCTTTTAAAACAACAAATTTCAACTTCGTAGCTGTGCAATTTCATTTCTACTGCCAACAGAGCGAGCGCCGTGCATTGTTTTTTTGCAACAAGTTTAACAGTTTATAAATCTCGGACAAATTATAAATTCTTTTATATCATGTTAATCCTTATACAGTTTTCAACTAACAACTTCGTGATTTCAAGTCTCTTAGCCAAAACAGAGGTAGGTGGTAGAGGCTCTCATAACTTTTTTAATATAGGGAAAACTTTATTTCATAGCTGCAAACAATTTATCATGTTTTAAGCTCGAAGTTTAAATTCTGATTCGTTTTAAGCATAAATGTTTACTTTCATTTTGAGAGATATTTTTAGTTTTTCTATAATTATTACCGATAAAATCCATTTCTTATGAAATATTATTTTTTCTTTATTTAATTTAAATGTTTATGTTTTTTTTTTGGCATGTTTCATATTTTTAAGGATAGATATACCTAATAAATCGGATTTTAAACTATGACTTTTTTTAAAAAATTCGATTTATCGGGAACCATTGCTGCCATGATAGGAAATCGCGTGGTAGGACTGAGGCTTTCATCATTGAAGACGTTCTTCCATTGCTTGTACCAAATACAAATCTACCAGAAAAGAGGCCCTTCGCTAAAATCACCGGAAGGTTTCTTTCCACCTAAGTGGCCAAAAAAGCTGAAGTATTTATTTTCAATACGCTTAACGCTTCACAATAGTGCGGAAAATAAGAAAATTATGTAAAAAGAAGAAAATTGATGTATAAAAAAATTAATATCATCCGGTTGTGTATCACATGTAAAATTTATAAAAACTGAAAAATGTGAAATTTTTTTTAAAATTTGTTTAAAAATGTACAATCGACATACTGTTGTTTCTTTTGCTTATTGTATGATTTAAAAAAGCGAAATTAAATTTCATTATCAAGTCAATGCCTACTGATTTCACAATGCTCTTAAAAAACAAGAATTATATTAAGTTTCTCGCCTTTAACCGTCGTGGCTAACAAACCGCTATATTCCAAAACCACTTAAAATTGTGCAATCGATGTGCCATAGCTTCTTATGTTTATTTAAGGGTTTAAACAGTGAAATAAATAAAAATATTATTTTAAAGCGATACCAGTCATATGATATGTTGGAAAATTTCTTGCTTTATAACGTCGTAGCTTATCAGCTGCCACATCAAAGAAAAAGAGGGTTTTGAATATCCTACAACTGAAGCCTGACAGAATTTCTTTCACAACAAATTATGGAAACACTGTTAACAAGAGAAAATCAAATTCCCAATTGAAACAAACGTGTCAATTTTTCGTTTTATTCAATTTGCGTTTTTAGTCACATTTTTAGAACTAATTAAGCAATTCAAAAGAAAAAAATTCACACACTTATAAAAGCCATTCACCCAAAGATAGTTTCATGCAAAAAATAAATTTTAATAATTATTTAATTTAATTGTGGATGAAAAAAATTTTGAATTATGAAGTGTAAATTTTTTTTATACCATATTAATCTACGCATTTTTCTATTGCAAAATCTAAAGTTTCAACAGTTTTCATTTGGTAGAAGTTGAGAAAAATTAAAATAAATTATTTTTAAAAAAGTAATTTGGTGACAATGAAAAAATATTTAAATGAGACTTGCGTGCGCGTAGAGTAAAATTTCATTAATATTTTTTTCGCTAATAACCAATTGCTAATCCTTTTTTTAAATTATAAAATACGATGTTTCTTTTTTAGTCTTCTGAAAATTTGTTCGTAATTTAATAAAGAGATTTGAATAAAACATTTTATTGAATAAGAACATTATATTAACGGATGTTGAATTCAATAACAGCCTGTTTCTGATAGAATGTGGTTATACGTCAGCTTTTTTTTATTTGTTTGTTCTTTCAATGATTAATACAATTTCAATAATATGCAAACGTATGCATAGATTTGGAATAATATGTTTATCAATTTCTCCAATATATATTTTATAATTATTAATACGAATACGTAGTCAAAATTTTTAAGCATCTTAAAATTTCTCAACATCTTATAAATCGACTTAATCTTAAAATAAATTTGTTAATTATCTATCTGCTCCTGTTTCGCAGAATTATTTTTCCAACTGTTTAATTAAATTTTAACCTTTCTCAAAATCTTCTTACCTCGTATATTATTTTTCCATTAATATACTAATAAACTGTTTTAGTACTTTAACTCAAGTTTTCCTTTAAAATAAAATTCCTTTTTGAATTATTGATAAGTTTTTATTGAAAGAAAACTTAGAATTATTGCCAGCTAGCTGAGAATTAAATCATGCTAAGAAGTTAAAAATACTCTGCTGATCGATGTTATTCGATGCAGAACAGCTGACTATTTACTAAGCATACTATTGTTTTCGAAAAATGAAGATAAATTATTGGTTGTCTTTTTTTATTGCTTCTTATTTATTTGAGTAATGAAAAGTAAATGCGTATGTGTGCACAGCAAAAAAATACAACAGTTTGCTTTGTTTTTTTAAATGAACAAAAAACTATGGACATGCAATTTTATTTTGACGTTCAAAGTTATTCTTGTCCGCTGACTTTAAGAAAGTTGCCCTTTTCTTTTAAAAAGTTGAAAATATTTGCTTAAACAGTTGTTAATATTATTTCTCAACTTCAGCACAATTCAAAAAAATGTTGCTATAACAGAAAAATGCTCGATATGCCGTGTTTTGTTAAACACCTACTAAAATAAAAAATTGTAAAAAGATTCCAAAACCGTGCTATTTTTAGAATCATCTCAAAAATTGTTCTTTTTCTAACATTAGAATTTTTTCTACTTTAATAACATATAATAATTTTAACACACGTTTTGAAGAAATCATGAATACAAATTTTGATCTAATATTTTGTAATGAGGAAGCAAGAATATTGACGAATCATTGATAATTGTTTCATTTTTTTTCGAAACAATCGGCCTTGCAACTACAGTACACTCTCGATTATCCGTGCTCATTCCGGAGTCACACAGAAAATATAAAGAAACATTTTCAAGATTAAAAAAATTTGATTCATGAAGTTATAACACTACCAAATTTTTGGAAGCAATATTCGTTATTGGATTGCAGTATATGGAATATCAGCAGCATGGTCAAAGGTAAAATCGTCTACGTTATCTATCACGATCTTTGAACACGTTCTCTATCACGAGAAAGATCATACCGCTTGATGAACATTCCTCTTCAGATGTTCAAGAAAAATATGATAACATTATTCTCGAACAAGCAAAAAGAAATCTAAGGTTTCGAAATTCTTGATGAAGAAAATTTAGAAGATAGGTTTCAAAGTGATGCATGTGAGCCTGGCTTCCAGTATTTGACTGACGAAGACATCGTTATGTTGTTAAATCAAATAGTGATGATAGTAACTGATGCAAAAGATGTAGTAAATGAATGAAATACTATTTCTCATTCTGCTACTCTGTGGAAACTTTATTAGATTATATGGGAGGATTTGATTACGGTGACACTACTGCGGTTCA